GAGAAAGCCCTTCATCAAGACACACGTCAGGAAAGAAGAGTCCGAGTGAGCAGAACTCTCCCGTCTCGAGGTTAGTAACCTTCTGGGGGGAAAAAAGATTGAACGTGGCCGAAGTCTCACTTTTAAAATTAATAGTGTGTGCTAGGAGGTGGACTGCTAATAAAATGGTGTAAGTAGGTACAGTAGGAAAAGAGCTTTGGGAAAAAGCTGTAATTAGTCAAATGGTTGATCTCAATAAACCAGTAAGTTTAATGATGGGTGGAAGTATTAACGGATGTAATGTAAGTCCTCTTTCTTAGTCTGTTCCTAGGAGAATGAAACGTGTGGTAGGTCAGAGAGTGGGTTCTTCAGAATACGATGGAGCTAATTTTACCAGTGTCAGGGTGAAACTTCTTTCTCTCCAGAAAGACTAGAGCGAGATGAACTTACATGATAAATGTTCACTATCAACATCCTATCCTATGCACGGGTTGATGCGTCAGAAAGTGATTATTTTCAGCTTTGCAGGTCTTTTGGTTTCTGTCACAACTACTGGTCACTGCACAAAAGCAGCCATTGACAATATGCCAGCAAACAGGCCTGGCTGCGTTCCAATCACATGTACAAAGGAGGCCCCTGGGCCATAGTTTGCAGAACCTTGTCCTAGAAGATGCCTCTCGGAACTCAAACTGAAGTCTCTGCTTTGAATGCAAGTGCATTTTTACTGGTCCCTCAGAGGGGACTTGCCAAAGGTCTAAGGTATCATGGGTTAGGGGAAACCGCATGTCCCTCATTGGAAATATTCTTTTAAGGAGACACTTTGAGGCAGGGAGCAGAAACCAAGACTGTAAGGTTCCAGTTGAAGGATGAGGCTCTTTGCAGATAAGAAGGATGTGGTCTCCCCAGGCCCAGTCATTGGTTCCAAAGGTTAGCACAGGCTTTCTGTTGTCCAGCATGGCAGTAGTTGTCCAAAGAAGTGAGGGATGCAGTCAGAACAGCTCTGTGTCAGCAGGTGCCAGGGCAGGTGGGCTCGGGTCATGGAATAGAATCCTCCCAATGTTCAGAAAGAGCGGGGATATCCGGGACAGCAGGAAGTACCACAGAAAGCAGAAGTGGTGACACTGGGAGATAGAGAAGAGCCTGTGTGGACAGCCTAAGAGGAAGAAAACGGTGTACCTGGAGACGGTCACCAGCCCAGGTCCCCTAAGGAGCCTGCAGTCCCAGGTGAGCTTGTGGATGAATTCACACTTACGTGGTTTCACTGAGATGTGTTCGGCAGTAGAGAATTCCAATAATATTTTGATTAATGACTTCCTGGAGGATGAAGCTCTTTTATACAGACAGCTCTATTAGGGAAAAAAACCTCAAGCCAAAATCCCTTCATAAATCATAGAAAAAATGGCTGCCTACACAACAAAAATAGCTGAAGCGTACTCTCTATTTGTCTTTGGTTAGATGGTGACAAATAGGGATCATCTTTCGCAAAGTTGTAACAGCTGAACTTTATCTTCAGCCACACGTCTCCCTGCACCTTTCATGGGGATCTGTGCCCTCCCTTGATTTTAGTCACTTGACCTGTCTTCATCTCTTAGCTCAGCTGGCTTTGGATGCCTTGGGAATGAAGGGTTTACTACAAGTTATTACCAATTAGTGCCCCCTTTTTAGATGGTGCTGTTACATCTCATTTCTTTTAGGATCCATTGCCCCTGTGCTGCATTTGTCTGCTCTGTCCCTTTGTCCATCCTTCCTCTCTACTTGCACCTCTGCCATGTTTTACCCAACCCTTATGCTCTCTCTTTTACTGGTGACACACACTCTCACACACACGCCAGATAGATAGGTTGGTAAGCAGACATATTGATTTATTGATATATGTTTTGGCATTTGTTTAATAAGCATTTAACAATTATTTGTATCATGAATCATTGACAACTTATATCAAAATCATTTACTATGATCTTCTGCATTATTTATTTCCTGCTGTTATAAACTTGTAACTAGGAGTGTCACTTTTTTTTTTCTTTTCCAAGGCTGTTTTGCAATTCTATATGAATTTGGGACCAGCTTTTTGAATTTTTTATAAGGATTGCATTAAACTTGTAGATTGCTTTTCCCCTTGCAATTTAGATATCTTTCATTTCTTTTTCTTGCCTAATTGTTCAGGCTGAAACTTCCAATACAATGTGAATAATGGTGGTACAAGTGGGCATCCTTTCTTTGCTCCTACTTTTAGAGGAAAATTTCACCACTGAGTCTGAGGTCAGCTGTGAGTTCTCTATAGATGCCCTTCACTAGCAGTCATTCAGGTTATCTGAGCATCAGTTTTCTCTTCTGCCATTTCCCCTTTTTTTCTGACAGATCTATTCCTTGACCTTTCTTAACATCTCTAGAAGCATTTTATTTCCTCCTTGGCTCCAGCTTCAAACAGGAACCTCCATAATGAGCAGTGGGCTCCTCCCAGCACTTCTAACCTAAACAATGAAATGGATTCTTCCGTATGCTCCTCTTTGAGTTGCCTCCCTGTCCCTGTTTGGCTTTTTTTTTTTTTTTTTTTTTTTTTTTTTTTTTGCGCTCCCATTATTCTTTCTAGTAGTTTTTCTTATAAAATGCCCTCAATTGAACCAGTGGCCATGGGCTCTGTTTTCCTAACTGGTCCCTGACTGGGGCCCATGGAGTCAAGGACACCCATAATTGTTATATCCCTTCTGTGATTAACAATGATAATGTCCCGGCAGTTGGTCTATCGCTCTTCATCTCCACGGAAATCTTTGAGAACAAGCCACCTACCCGCCTTGCTCAGGTCACAGTGACAGTGTCCTAAGTTTGGTATCCCTTTCTGCTTCCTCCCAATCCGTTCTTCATGCAGCAGCCAGAACAGTTGTAGGAGTTCAGAGGTATATGGGTGTAGGAAACAGAAACTGCTTTTCTCACAGGCTTGTAAAATATGGGAATTTATAGCCTCACACAATGTGCTCAGACTCAAGAATCCTGAATTCAGTACCTCAATGATGCCATCTGAGACCCAAACTCATTCCTGTCTCTCTCTGCCACAATCTTTGTCCTCAGGTTGCTTGTGGTAACTGGGGCAACATTTTTCTTATTAAAAAAAAAAATAGTACAATAAGACGAGAGAGAGAGAGAGAGAGAGAGAGAGAGAGAGAGAGAGAGAGAGAGAGAGAGAGAGAGAGGTGTCTGTGACATCAAATGTAAAGATTTTCTCTTGCTTTGAATGCATCAATTCAGTCCATGATTTGGTTCTCCACCCCTGCCCCCAAATAGGTTCTTATTGTCTGTATCATGGCTTAGATTTGTTCTACTATCCCTATGGTGTGGGGGAAGGAGTGGATCCTAAACAAAGCCAGCTTCCTGTTAGTCAGGAAGGTTAGTGAGGGAAGTTGACTATCTGATAATTCAAATCAGATTGTATCGTTCTTGTATCCAAAAGCCTCCAATTGCTTCCGCTTGCAATTATAACCCTATCAGAAAATCTGTAAGGGCATACATTGTATCACCTAATCCTTCTGGAGTCAGTCTCCTGGATTTCCTGTCCCTATCTTATCTTAACAGTTCCCACTACAACTCTGAAGGCATTTCCTCAGAGCTATGTTTGTGCCTTAGATGTACATTCTGGTGCTGAGTCACAGATGCAACAGGACACCCTGGTCCCTGACCATCCACTGTGAAGTGCTTCATGTGTGTCGTTGTGTCTCGCCCACTACAGTGTAGTTATATTGTTTCCTGGTAGTGTCCCATGTTGTCATTCCATTGCTCTTTCTCCCTCTTTCTACCTGGAAATCTGTATTGTGGTTGGGAGGCCCAGGGTCTGGTACACTCTTCCCAGGACATCCTGCCCAAATCTACTGGAATGAATTCCCTCTCTGGGATGTCATATAACTTGATCAAATGACTTGTACAGAAATGACCAAGTTTTATTACAACAAATCACTTCTTTAATCTGCCTGACCCAACATTTTATGGGCGATTTGGGGGTAGAGACCATGTCTATCTTGTTGCTGGTATTGTCAGTAAATGGTTTCAATGAATTACTTACTTACAAAACAGAGATCACAGATATGTCAAATAACAACCACAAAGCTGTTACAAATGATACTATCAATGTGAAAGCTTTTGGAGAATAGAATGCTATGTAAACTTAAGTTGGCACCATACATTATTATAGGTACACATCAAATTGTTCTGATTACCATGACATTGTTGATTTCACATTTGATATTGCACTATAATCATATAAGATATAACAGGGACTTTGGGTGGAGGTACATGGGAGCTCTCTGTACTATCTTGGCAAGTTCCTGTGACTCTATAATTATTTAAAAATAAAAAGTTTTAAAAAATATCAAACATAATGGTAGATTTGGAGGGCCTTTGTTGACTCCATCATCATCCAAAGCCAATGTCTGAACTCAGCAAAGGAAGGCCCCGACCAGTGGAGCTGCCGGATCCCCCAATCACAGACTCTTCCCCTTGCCCTTCAGTCTGTGCTCCAATCTCAGGTCCTCAGTAAAGACTCTGGGGCTTTTTATTAAAGGGAAATGCATGCTAGAGCCTTTCCCTTAATCCCATGCCCTTTTCCCTCGTGCACTTACCACCTATAACTGACTCTACTTTTTACCTTTTTGTTTTCCTTTCTGTCTCCTCCCACTAGTACATAAGTTTCATGTTGGCAAGAATTCATTTTTAAGTAAATTTATTGTTGTATCCTCATTGGCTAAAGAAAACGCACTCAGCAAATGTTTGTTCAATGAATGAATCTCTGTAGAAATAAAGCTTGAAAATAAGCTGTTTCCCCGAGAGAGAAGCAGTTCAAATCTGCCCATCCTTGTACGAGAGCAAAGCTGACTTTGAAGCTCAGACCTTTTTCCTGTGTTCACACTTTAGAAAGAGAAGATAGCACTGATAGTATCTGAGAGGAAGTAACAGTGTCTTGTGCCAGGCCTCTGCAAGTAACAATTATAAAACTTGTCTTTTTTCCAGACCAGCCTCCCCGGCGCTTTCCAGAGATGGATTATTTTACTTTCCTCGTGGCTCTTCTTCATCTACACAAAGGTAAGGTAATGTCTTCAGTCCTTTTTTTTCTTTCTTTTTTTTTTTTTTGTCTTATAGTGTGACACGTTCTGAAATTATAGTGTTCTATAGTTGGCTTAGATAATTTGCCACTTGTTCAGAAAAAGAAAATGTTACAAGTGCCTATTCCCAGCAGTGGAAACCTTTCTAGACTAAAGTAGAAGCTGTTCATCTCTACCATGATCTCAATTTACTAGGTCTTAGAAAGCTTAGAACAGCTAAAGATATCTATTTGGTGCTTTGAGCATAATGACTAATGGAATGAACATGGTGTATATTTCAGCTCTCGGTGAAGAGGTATTTTGGAACACAAGAGTGAAACTTGCAGAGACTCTGACTCTCGAGTGTCAGTATCCATTGTTGGGCACCTTAGTCCAGATGGAGTGGTTCAAGATCAACGCAACGAAGAAGAAAGAGTCCATGGCCATTTTTCACCCTAACTTTGGTTCGGTGATAAGGGATCCCTATGCTGATAGGGTTTATTTCTTGAAGTCAACCTCGGATCCCAAAAATATGATGCTGGCCTTTTACAATGCCTCTGAGGCTGATATTGGCTCCTATTCCTGCCTTCTTGAAATATTCCCATATGGATCTTGGGAAAAGGTGGTACAGGTAGTTCCACCAGGTAAGTGCCAATTTCATTCCCTTTTTACCCATCGGCAGCATTTGATTTTATAAAGCCTACATAGAAGCAATGAAGTGCTTTATCCTATTTCGTGATGCTTTCCAATTCCATTTCTAGATTCTAGGAGTAGTATTTCAAAGGAATAAAACTATGAGTTACCTTTGATTTTTTATTAATGTGCTATCATTTTCGAGTAGAAGAAGCATCTCACAAATTTGAATGTACTAGTAGAAAGCATAGGTCTTATACTGTCTTCATGATAAGTTGACCCTGCATTAAACTGGCTGTGTCTGGGTCCAGGAACCTTATATATTCCTCAAGCCTCCAGCCCAGAGCTAATGAGTAAATTGGATGCTTTATTCTGGATAAATGGTACTATTAATGCAAAATTATGTTATAATGTGTGTCAACTTTAGAACAGTCATCTCTCTGTTAGTACTTGACTTAGAGAATTTGAGGGTGAGAATGGCTGCATTTATTTACTGCTTCAAGGAAGGCATACTGAAGTGGGAGATAACATCTCAAGGCCGCAGAATTTGTGGTGGAAATGGAGTTGTGGAGAGATTTGCTATAACCCATGTGTCTCTGGCCTGGCTAGTTAGTCAAAGCAAACACTATACTGTGCATTAAGTAAGTGAATGTCATCTCATGAAATACTTGTGAAGCACCATGGGGGAGGCTGTGTGTTTGCACTATACAGATGAAGAAACTGAGATCCAAGGTCATTAACTAATTCAAGTTTGGGAGCTGCCAAGTCAGAGCACCAGGCTGAAACCAAGGGATGCATCCAAAGGTGCCAGCAATGATCTCAAAGGGAGTTTGACTCCGACAGAGCAGATCATGGAGGCTCAAGGGAGGGACAAGTCATGCTGGACCTTGAAAATGGGAAAGGAATTTTTTAACTGTGAGGATGGGACCCTCTCGCTGTCTGTACCAGCAAAAGGGCTCAACAGATGATATGTTGGGGTCCCGGGTAAGCTTTTATACCATAGACAAGAGGCCCTGTATATGAAAATTCATGCATGGGGTGGGGGGTGGTGGTCCCTCAGCCTGGCCTACCTTCTCTCACAGTCCAGGAGCCCTCAGGGGATGTCCTCCTTGGTTGGAGGCAACCAGGCTGATTAGGGGAAGGTATTGCCCCCATTACCTCGCTGCTGCTGCCACTGTCAGCCCTTGGCTCTCAGACCTCAATTCTTAGCGCTGGGGTGGGGTAAATCTGGGGCCAGGCCAGCTGGGCGAGGGGCTGTGGGAAGTTGAGGCACAGCAGATTGCATACCTTCCAGTCTCTGTGGCACCTGCCTCTGTGGCTGCCTCTGCGGAAGGGGCAGCACTGGGACCAGGCCACACTGCGGCCTGTCCTGTGCCACATCTGCGGAAGGGGGCACAGCGCTGTCTTCTCACAGCCTCTGCAAAAGGGATCGTGGTGCTGGACCAGGGGTGCCAGACCTGGCCGCCCCTCCTGCACAATGAGAGATGAGTGCTGTACCGGCCCATCTCTGCTGCGTGGCAGTTGTGGCTTTGTCTGGATAGATGTTCGCATTAATTAGCATATTACCCTTTTATTAGTATAGATTATATATTAGAAAAGAATTTGAACCCCCTGGGGCAGTAGAATGTCAGAGAGGAGCCCAGGAGTCTAGGATGGCTGAATCTCACTGTGCCTAATAGAGTCTGAGCCTCACTCTATAGTGTAGACCTTGGAAGTCACTGAATAATTTTCAGAGGGGACACAAAATAAACCCATCTTTTTCACAGCCTGGAAGATGAAGCTAGTCATACCTCTATATGAAGGGAAGAGTTTAAGGGCAAGTGAACACTTATCTGCTGCTGGTCAGAGTATAAATTGGTGCATATATTATATTATTGGTGTTGGTAATATTCAGAGTTCTCCGGAGAGGCAGAACCAGTAAGACATGTGTGTACATAGAAAAAAATTATCGTAAGGAGTTGGCTCATGTGATTATGGAGAGCGGCAAGTCCAATGGTGTATTGTGGGCTGAGACACACACACACACACACACACACACACACACACACACACACACGTAAAGAGGGTTCTGTAAGATATTGCATTTCAGAAGTTTTTTATTTAAGAAAGAGAAAAGATATAAAATGGTGCCTATAAGAAATAGTCAACTAATGAAACAAAGATTTTAAAAGCTTGGAAATATCCTTCCTTAATGAAATAAAATAACATATAGAGACAGCAGTTGATGAGGAACATTTTAAGACTCATGAAAAGACATACTGTGGTTCCTACCCTCTCAAGGGTAAAATGTTATGTTGGGGTCCCAGGGCCAAGGCTGTTTCTGTTGACTTGATTTTTATTGGAGAAAACAGAGAAAAGCAAGCTGGAGAGCTCTCATCATCAAGAGGGTCAAATTTCAGGCTTTGGGGTAAAGCTCTGAAATCAGAAATGAAACAGAGAGAAATAAAGAAGACACCTCCAAAACAAGGCAACCATGGATTTTATATATATGATTAAATGCAGTCACTGATGGTGGAGAAAGTGTAATATATAAGCACAAGGACATGGTTGGGTTTTATGAGGATCCTGTCCTCTGTCCAGGCGGTGCCCAGGACTCTCTGCTACTGCATTTCTCCATGAGGCACCATCATTCACCCTCATCGCCATAGAACATCCCAGAGAGGACATTTACTTTACACTAGTTCTTAACCCACTTAAGTAGCCCAGAACTGGATGAAATTGGTTGTGATCTTTGCATGGAGCCATTTCATGTATCTACCCCAAACCTTCCCTTCCTTTGTAATGCTTTGATGTCCCACATGGCCTTCCGGTAGGAGCACATTGGGCCAAATGGCTAGAGAGTGTTCCCTGGAGCTCTTTAAGATGTTCTTCATGCAGCTGGAGAGGGGGAGTCCTTGAGTTTTCCACCTTTAACTTTCTGGGACCAGTCAGTTCACACCTCTAGTATCATCTTTACCACAGCTGCTCTCTCTCCAGCCCAGCACAACTGCCACCCACAGTATGTGGAGTGCAGCACAATTCCTCTACAGAGTGGGTGCTGCTGGCATGTGGGTGCGAGTGTATGGTGGGGGTTGCGGCTTCATGTGTTGCAGCCCTTCCAGTTAACTGGGAGAGCTCAACCCACAGCTGAGCTGCCTCCTCAGACCTTCTGGGTCTATCTTCTTATTTATAGTTTATCACAGGTGGAGAGCTGCAGACTCCAAGCACTGCTGTCCAGCTTCCTCTCGAAACTTCCACGGGATTAAGGGGTGGGTGTCAGTAGCATTAAGAGACCTTACAAGAATTTTCCCATCAACAGATTACATTACCTGAGAGTATCATTATATTTGTGCATGTTGTAAGATAAAAATGCTGGGCTTGGGCCCTGGCCCGTTTGCCTTAGTGTTGGCCTGTGGACTGAAGGGTCCCAGGTTAGATTCTGATCAAGTACCTATACCTTGGTTGCAGTCTCAATTTCTGGCCCTGGCTGGAGGGGGTTGCGGGTGGGGTTACGCACAGGAGGCAACCAGTCTATGTGGTTGATGTTTCTCTTTCTATGCCTTTCCTCTTCCTTCCCACTCTCTCTAAAAATCAATGGGAAAATATCTTTGGGTGAGGATTAACAACAACATAAAATGCTGGGTTTGGGATGTTTAAAACCAAAAGAATAAAAAGAGAAATAAATAACTGGAAAAAGGAGGAAAAAGCAAGCCCTTGGCCGACCCGAGGCCTGGGGCCAGAATCCGTTTTCTTTCTGAGCCAACGCGTCCCTGTGGCTTAGCTAGCACCGATAAAAGGATGCTGAGCTGTGCTTTCTGTTGGTGGGTTTGTTTTTGTTTGGTTTTATGTGGAGTAGCGGTTGTAAGCAGGGTGGCTTTTCCTCTCATTTGAAAGTGTCTGAAAACACTGAAGATTTGGAAAGTGTTGAGAATGTTAAGACTATTAAGTCAATCATTTAGGGATCAACACAAAATTATTCCCGCAAGCGGCAGGCATCTCTTCCACTCACTCTGCAGTCCTTTGAATTAAATAACCAGTTGATGGGGCATCTGGTGCTTCCCCTGAGAGACTGTTCACAATCCAATAAATCTCAGTGTGAGAAAATGTCCTCTGACTTCACCTGTCTAACCAACTTACGGTTTTGTGTTTTTTTGTTTGTTTGTTTTTTTTAAGTCCTCTTCAGAGGCCCAGAGAGAAAGGCCCACATTCCGTAGAAGACTGACACACAAAGCTTTCTACAGATGGAGAGATGATATAAAATATTCACATTTAACAGGGCTGTAAATAGCCTACCTGGGTCATGCCTGCTGATGTTATTGGGGTGATGATTGTGGCAAAAAGAGAATGATGCCTGGGCATCAATTCTATGAGCATTTAGGCTCATCATTTAACTAGCAGGGTATTTAAGAAACACATTCTCAGTTCAGCAGACCAGCTCATTTCTTTTTCCTCTTTGTAAGAATTTTTAAAAATATGTTTTTATTGTTTTCAGAGAGAGGAAGGGAGAGGGAGATAGAAATACCGATGATGAGAAAGACTCATTGATTAGCTGCCTCCTTCATGCCCCATACCAGGGACTGAGCCTGCAATCCAGGCATGTGCCCAACCAGGAATTGAACCGTGACCTCCTGGTTCATAGGTTGACACTGAGCCTGCAATACAGGCATGTGTCCCATTTCTTTGCAGGCTACAATTCTATATGCCCCTCAACATTGACAATTCTGAATTAGTTTAGAGAAGGGATGTGTGTATTTTCTGCATATGTAGGATGGTTTCTGTCTGGACAGAGAAATAACCCGAAACTTCAGAAAGTTTCAGGCCATCCACTAAATTTGTTCCCCTCATGCAGTGGTTGGGAAACTATGGCTCGTGAGCCACATGTGGCTCTTTGGTCCCTTGAATGTGGCTCTTCCACAAAATGCCACGGCCTGGATTAGTATATTTTGAATAAGTGGCGTTAGAAGAAGTTTAAGTTTAAAAAACTTGGCTCTCAAAAGAAATTTCAATCGTTGTACTGTGGATAGTTGGCTCT